CACATAGTTTATTTGTAATCTTTAATTTTAAGTAATATACATCAATAAACAATACTCCATACATAAAAAAATACATACATTAGATTGAATTGTTCAAATACCTTCAAACCCAACTGATATAGAGTCATAGTTGCATCATGCAAGCTAAAAAGGATAACTTACAAGGTAAGGAACAAATAGATGGACCTTTTTCTTTTCTCTATTTTGTTGTCATTCAAAATCTTTAATAACTTTAAGTTTGATGATGTGACAAATGTACTTTTTTTAGTTTTTTTTTTCAAATTAATCTGAATATAGAACCCGTTATACGGGTCGACTAATCTCATGATGATCATCTGTTTTGTGGTTAGCTCGGTGTCACTGCATTTGAACCTATGTGACCATAAGAGGATTTTTATTCTACATTGGATTCGAAGTTAGGACCTTCAGGCACTTTTGACATATGGAGTACAAATTCAAACCAATTAGACACCATCCATGTTGGACATTATAAATCTATCTGATCAACAAGTTATATTTGACAAAAACTAGATGAAAAATATAAAATAACTGAAAATCACATCTTGAAAAATCAGCCAATCAAAATACAGATTCTTCAAAATTTCTCTAAATTACAGAATCAAAATTCAAAATCTCTAAAAAATATTTCATTCAACTCCAACAGCTTCTCCATTTTGGAATTACACATTCATTATATTATTAAAATATTTCATGCATTTAATAAAATATTATTTCACTTATCTAAACATTTAATTTTCAAGATTTTTTTACTGGTGGGATATAATCAAATAATGTTTATCTGTTATGATAATCATTTTTGGGGATTTCTCTAAATTTGGAGATTTTTACATCATCTCTCCTGCTTTATCCATTTTGGATAAGGTTTTGCGGAAGCTGTTGGAGTAAAAAATTGTTTGAAATCCCCATTTTTTCCGTTTTGCAGAATTTGTTGGAGATGCTATCATAATATGTTATAATATATTTAAAACAAATCAGTAATAATATAATATGTCAATTAATACAAACAAGGTTGTAAAAATAATCATTTTTAATATTTAAAAAAATATAATTAATAGTAAAAAATCAGATGTTTTATTATCTACTAACAGGGTGCTCAGATAATATAGCGAGATATATCTCAATTTTAATGTTTCGTTTTATTATTTATCTATGTCGATATAATACAGGTTTTAATGGTTTTGAGAAAACGATAATGTTTTTTATTTTTGAATAAAATATAAATTTAAATATATTGGGAAAAAAATATATCGATATTAGTATTAAATTTACTATTTAAAGTTATAGTTTTTTGTGTAATTTTTTTTAATTCAATATTTTATTTATAATTTAATTTAGAGTTAGTAACGAAGTAATTTATTTATCGTTTAATAAAATAAAAGTCAAACATGAAAGTCATGTCAAACATGGAACAGAGATCCTGTTATATTATGTCATGTCCAGTGTACCAAACGTATCTGATGGATTCTATTTATGCAATTAAAAAAAAAAAAAATCAAAAGTGAGTTATTCTAAACGTCATGAATAAACAAATGTTAATTAATATAAAAATATTTACGCAAGGTATATGTGCAATCTTATATCTTTTTTTAAAAAATAAAATAAAATGAAATTAATTAATTAAAATAATTAATACAATTTTAATTAATTAAT